AGTAACCAAAAAAGTGAAATCGAAAAAAGGTCAAGCTACAGGTAATATAAATTTTTTCAAGAAAAAAATTGATTTATTACTTGGGCTGAGATAGCATTTCTACCCCTCGCGCTCTCGAAACTACGGGATAATTCTTACAATTTTTTTACAAATCTTTTTTGGAAAACATTTTCCCTATATATAGTACGTTTTGCGCTATCTAAAACTATTTCTGAGTTGAACTCTTTCGTGCTTCACCCCCGGTTTTCGTCACGCGAGTTTTAAAAGTTTCGGATTATTTTGTGCGAATAAAGGTGCGAAAAATGGGCAGTGAAGTGATTAGAAGAAGCATAAAGTTAGCATCGATGTTGGATACTCACATAAATGCGGAGAAATTTTTAACTAAATATCTAACGTTTCGCTCGATGCCAACTATCTGCTTTTCACACGTTTTTTGTGCGAATGTTCTGATACAATATTGGGAGTATTGTATTAGTTAGATACTTTGGTACCGACGCGCGTTTACTCCGGATTGCCGGAGAAATAATTGAAACGTGACGTGCGGTTGGACACGAGGAGGAGGATGTGGGTGGACACATCCAAAATCTCCTCTCTCATCTCCACAATCGTAAGTGACTCTCTATTTTTATAAAAGCAACTCATATATCGAACTCGCGATTTAGCTAATTTTTAATAATAAATTATAGTAAGAAATGCACGTCAAAGAGTCACTGCGGTGATGAATCCGCTCACGCAAATTCGAAGGCGACACGCGGAGGACGAGGCAGAAGCAGGTCCAGCGCGTAAGCAATATTATTAAAAACTAGACAGGAGTAAAAATACAATTTTCCAAGATTAAAATATTAAATGCTTTTAGAAAGGTCGTATTGAACGCAGGAATTAGAGGAGGAGGCGCCAGAAATTATTCAGCTTTCATTTGGTAAGTTTACATTTTTAAATAAATAATTTTTAAAACAAATAGTAAAAGTTAGAAAATCTTAATACAACTTTGTTTTTAGATACGGCAGTAAGTACTCCCGATCAGCGAGTGTTTTCGCCCGGTAAGTCGATAGAGAGAAAATATTAATTAAAGTACATAATATCTTTATTGATTAAGGACATAATATTAATATCGAAAATAAAAATTTACGATATATTTTTTCTTAGAATACGACCATATGTACTCCCCCGTAATCCCGGAAGAGAGAATTTGGAGCGATGAAGAAGGGGAAGAAGAAGAAGAAGAAGAGCAGGAAGAAGAAGAGGAGGAGGAGGAAGAGGAGGAGGAGATGGTGGAGGAAGAGGAAGAGGAGGAGGAAGAGGAGTAGGAGAAGATGGAGGAACGCGAGGAAGAACCCGAAGAAGGCGAAAAGGAAATTAGAGAAACACTGCCTGGTATATAATCTTTTTTCTTACTTTTTCGATTTATGTTTGTATTTAATTTTAAATTATCGAATATTTTTAATAGGAATTTCTCCCAGCCCTATTCTCTATGCGAGAAGGAGACGCTATCGATAAAAGGCGAGTTACCTCAGAAAAATATGCTTGTTTACTAAATTAAATACAAACATAATATTCTAAGCAATCTCGAAGTATTTTTTATAAAATATGTTTCTAATTTTTTGTAACTTTTGCACAGAAGCGAACAATGAAGAGCCGCAGCGTGGAGGAGGACTTCCACCTCAGGAAAATTTGGAGGAGGGAGAGGTTGAGGAGGAAGAGCAGCAGGAAATAGCAGACGAAGAAAGGGAGGAGGAGGAGGAGGAGGAGGAGATAATGGGAGAAGAACAAGTGCAAAAGGAGGGGGAGGAGGAAGAGGAAAGGGGACAAGCGTGTTGTCACGAGATCAGAAATTTTAATCATTTATTATTAATCGGGGAAAATTCGCTTTAGAAATTTCGCGATATTAGGAAGAGAGGCGATATTCCGTTTGTGTCTGCTACCCGAAGGAGTCGATGTTTATAACTGGCTTGAAAACGCATTCGCCGAAATTCATGCCTACGCGTTGCATATCTCCGAACCGCATGATTACGTGGGATTTGCATTCGATTCGGAAGATTTAACGCACGGTCCGGCGGGATTATCGTTTTGACCGGCACGCGACTTAACTCGCGAGGACATTTGGCGTCTTGTGAGTTCAGTAGCGCAAAGCGCCGGAGGTCTCGATATCGCACGAGATTTTAACGTACGCGTTTTCAATGTCGCGGACGCGTTTCGAATAAACTTACACGGGAAGACGTTGCGAAACGTTCGATTTTAATAATCTCCAATTCGGATAATTTATGTTTTCCCCGCTCTCTCGTGACCGCGCAAATTTATCACGAACGCGGTACGTTGCGTGCGGGGAACTTCACGAGCAGTGGAATGTGGACATCAGAATTCTTCGTTACAACGCGAACTCGCGTTGGATTTGACGAGGAGGGCTGGTGTCACCATTCCACCGGAGGATTGCGGGATTCGGGAAATAGAATGTTTCCAACGCTTTCTCGCCGCATTCGATATCGCTATTATTGTTTATAATTTCGCTACTTTCGGGCGCGGCTTTATTCGACGGAACCGCGGTACTCGCCTCTCTAGAACGTGAGCTATTGTATCGAATAAATATTATATATTATGAGCAACAACAATATTATAGTCCTATTTTAAATTTAAAAGCAGCCGTGAGAAGTAGAGGGGGTTATTATATACCATGTAATATCGATTATCGTGAGGAAAAGTCATCGCTGTTCAAACAAATGTTCTCGTTGTAACAAAGTGCCGCTGTGCGAGCAACGTAAAATCGTAGAACTTGTTAGATGCGAGACTTGCAAACGTTCGTTCTTAGGAAACACATGCTTTGAACATCATCGGACGACAATGTCGTACGACGGAAAAACACCGGCGAGTGTCTGCAATACTATTCGGCTTTGCGAAGGTTGCGGACGGATTATAAAAGCGACAAAAAGACACGAATGTGCCGTTTCTTTTTGCAAAATTTGCAATTCGCAAAAACCGATAAATCATCTTTGTTACATGCAACCTCTCTCACGTGAAGACAGATCCTCCGCTGTCGAGCCCGACAGAGATTTCTTCTGTAGTTACGGGAGAGAGTGAGCAGAATAACACGGGTGAGCGGGAATGCAATAAGGGACGAACGGCATTCGTATTTTATGATTTTGAGACGCGTCAAGATCAATTGCTCGAGGGAACCGATATGAAAATTCACGTCCCGACACTCTGCGTCGCACAACAGATTTGCGATTCGTGCGCGGGGATGGATAATTCGTCGGTGCGCTGCGACTGGTGCAGAGTACGCGAATTTGTTTTTCGACAGGATTCGGTAAAACAATTTGTCGAATTCGCAACACGAACCAACGAAACATTTTACGCGGATTATTTATATAGCGCATAACGCGAAATCATTTGACGCGCAGTTATCCTCCGGTACATCGTAGAAAATTATTCTGGATTAGAATTTAGAACCTTGTATAATTTTAAACGGTACAAAAATTATGGTCCTAACAGTAAATCGCACGAAATTTATCGACAGTATTAATTATATGCCAATGCGTTTGTCGGAATTACCGAAGGCCTTCGGATTACCGGATACTTGTGACAAAGATGTCTTTCCGCACTTATTTAATACTGTCGATAATCAAACATATGTCGATCCACTATCCGATGTTCGTTATTACGCGCCCGAAACAATGCGAACAAAGAAACGCGAACGTTTTCTCGCATGGCACACAGAAATGTCTGAAAGAAATACGGTATTTGATTTTCAACGTGAAATACTCGAGTATTGTCGCACCACATTACATTAATATCCTTCGACGAGCATGTATGGCCTTCAGAAAAATATTCTTACAGCTGGGAAACGTGTGTTCATTCGAGGAATGTACAACTATTGCTTCAACGTGCATGAAAGTTTTTCGGAAAAACTTTTTGCACGAAGGAGAAATAGGAATCATTCCTTCGGAATACAGGTTGCAATTTCACGGTCTTGCAATTTCACGGTTGCTTTTTTCATGGATGCCCGTCTTGCTATCCATTAAATCGTGATAAAACGCTCGAAAATTTTAACAATACGTTTGACGCACGTTACGAACGAACGCGGTTGCAGCGTCTTGGCGATTACGTCAAGGATATATCCTAACAGAAAAATGGGAGTGCGTTTTCGACGAAGAAATACGCGAGAACCGAGAGATGCAAGAATTTCTTGAATATCACCCCATGGTCAAATCCCACCTCTCAATCCTCGCGATGCATTTTTCGGCGGACGCACCGGCAATATCGCGACTCGATACGAGATTACGGGCACCGAGAAGATACGGTACGTAGACGTATGTTCTCTGTACCCGTACGTACCCAAGATCGAAGTTTTCCCAATTGGTCACCCGGATATTTATGTGGGCAAGGATTGCGCCAAATTTTAATTTTACTCTGGTCGAGGGTCTCGTACGTTGCCGAGTACTCCCCCCGCGTGATCTCTTCCATTCGGTACTACCGTACCGCGTACGCGGTAAATTATTATTTGCTCTTTGCCATACATGTTGCGAATCATTTTCTCGCGACGCGTGCACTCATGATGATCTTGCGGAGCGTGAGTTCGAGGGCACATGGGTGTTGTGCGAATTACGCAAAGCAGTCGAAAAAGGATATCTCGTGACGTGGATAGACGAAATTTGGCAGTACAAATCCACGCGATATAACTCCGAGACGCGATAGGGAGGATTGTTTACCGAATATATCAACACTTTTTTGCAACTGAAACAAAAGGCGAGAGTGGGTGCGAACGAATGCAACGACGACGTTGCTAAAGAACGCTACCTGAGGGAGTATGAAGCAACCGAAGGTATCATTCTCGATAAAAACAACATCGTACGTAATTCCGGCTTAGGCTCCGTCGCCAAACTCTGTCTTAATTCGTTTTGGGGGAAATTCGGCCAACGGAGTAACCTGCCGAATACAGAAATAATAAGATCCCCTCAGCGTTTCGCCGAATTGTTGTCGAGTCCTGAACAGAGATAGTCGCTGTATTGCCATTAACGAGGATATATGTTTCATGGCGGTTAAAGAGTGAAGCGGTAGTATCTTCACCGATAACTAACGTGGTGATAGCGGCATACACGACGGCACAGGCGCGATTAAAATTATATGAATATTTAGAAAAATTAGATCGTCGCGTATTATATTACGATACAGATTCTTGTATATTTACAAGCAGCGATGATCCCGAGGAGTACGAGCCGCACATAGGTAATTTTTTGGGTGACATGACCGACGAACTCGAGAGTTACGGGCGTGGTAGCTTCATCGAGGCGTTTGTATCTGGCGGGCCGAAGTTTTACGCGTACGTGATACGTACACCGGACGCACGAAAATATGAAATATGTAAGATAAAGGAGATTAAATTAAATTTTGAAAAATTCGAGGCTGCTTAATTTTAAGAGTATTTATAATTTATTATTAAATAGGGAAAAAGAGGAGGAGGAAGAGATAAATCATTTAAGACAATTCGTCGCACCGCGTTTCACGAAGTAATAACGCGAAACGAGGTAAAAACATGTGCTCCTGTTTTATTAAAGTGCAGATTCATCGACAATCTTTTTTCTTATCCCTTTTACGATATTTTATTTAAAATTAAGTTAGGTTAAGGCTCGGATTTCCCCGTTCTCCCGCAAGTGTAAATATATATACAGGATAAATATGCTTGTAAAAATTAAGATTATTTTTATTTTCGTCATAGTTTATTTTAGTATTAAATTTAAGAAAAAAATGGGAAATTTGAAAAATGTATATTATACGAAGTTTCGATTAGAAAATGTAAAATTACAAATGTAAAATTACAAATTTGCGTTTAGTTATTAAGAAAAAATGTAATAAAAATATTTATTTCTCTAATTGTAAGAAAAAGTATAATAAAAATTTTGTAAAATTAAATTTTTAAATCCAATTTTTTCCCACTTTCCTATAATTTTCCTATAACTTTCTTTTATCACTAATTTTTTATACAGAAAATATTTTGAATATTTTGAATTTACAATAGAGAATCTTTAAAATACTTTGTAAAATATCTTTTAAATTATAATCCTAAATTATAATTGCATAAGTTACGATTTTTTAAATTACTTTGTATTAGGTGTACAAAAAAGTTCTGAGCTTTAAATTTCATACAACCGAAATAACAATTTAAATTTTATATATTTTCGCGCCTTTTTGCGGTTTTAAAGCGTTGACATTTGGCCTTCTAAAATGCCATACGGTTTAGCGTTTGATGCACATAACCTCAAAAATGAATAGTGTTCACGATGGCAATAATAAAAGAGCATATTCGATTTTCTATCCACTTCGCGTTTCATCTGAAGAAAAATGCTGCTGAAGCCATTGCAATGATTTGTGCTGCATATGAAGAGAACGCTGTAAGTCATACTACATGTAAAAGATGGTATCAAAAATTTCGCCAAGGAGATTTCAGTCTTGAAGATGAACCGCGTGCTGAACGCCCTCAAAAGATTGAAACGGACGAATTGCAAGCACTGCTAGATATAAACTCTGCACAAACTGAAAAGGAGCTTGCAGAACAGCTTGGCGTTACGCAGCAACCCATTTCCGTACGTTTACATATGATGGAAAAGGTTCAGAAGGAAGGCAGATGGGTTCCGCATGAATTGTCCGAAGACAACAAAAATCGTCGGCGTAACACTGCACTCACTTTGCTTTCAAAGTTCCGGAAAAAAGATTTTCTGCACAAAATCATTACAGGCCATGAAAAGTGGATTCTTTATGATAACTCTAAACGTAGAAAATCATGGGTTGATCCTGGTCAACCTTCGACATCGATGCCAAAGCCCAATATCCACGCCAAGAAGGTTTTGCTCTGTATCTGGTGGAATTGGAAAGGTGTGTTGTATTACGAGTTGTTACAACCGAGTGAAACAATCACGGCAGACCGCTACCAACAACAATTGACCAATTTGAACGATACATTAGAAGAAAAGAGGCCATTTACTGGCCAAAGACGTCGTAAAGTGATCTTGCTTCATGACGATGCTCGACCACATGTTGCGAAAGCGACTCAGGATCATATCTTTGCGTTAGGCTGGGAACTTCTCCCGCACGCGGCGTATAGCCCAGACATGGCGCTTTCCTATTACTACCTATTTCCAGTCGCTGCAGCATCATTTGGCTCATACACATTTCATGAAATTTGAAGAGATACGAAAATGCATTGATGACTTTATCGCTTCGAAGCCGGTGAGCTTCTATCATCAAGGAATTCGCAAGCTACCCGAAAGATGGCAAAAGGTCTTTGATGCAAACGGGGAATATTTCGCTGATTAATATTTTTTTGTTTGTTTTTGAATAAAGATTGAATTTTACAAAAAAAAGCTCAGAACTTTTTTGTACACCTATAAAAGAAAAAGTTATAAATTTTTACGTCTGCAATAATAAGTATTCAATTATTTTTTCTGCGAATAAGTTTTTCCGGCTTGAATTAGCTTTCGAAGAGCACCGTGTACAAGCTCGTAAGCGACGGTGCTCTCGCAGTAGACGCTCGCACGAGCGTACGAGCGAAGCTTGTCGCGGACGAGTACGAGCTCGTTACGCAAAGGTGCTGGCGCGAGCACACCTCCGCCGCGGTGGGGCCCTTCCGCGAGTAAGCTAATCTCAAAAGTCTCAAAAATTTCTCTGAGAAAAAATCAAGAACTTCAAATGGTCCCTTTGTTTATTAATTTAAGTACGACGCACAAGACGTTTATTTCGCGAAATGGATGTACGCTGGAAACATTCGTGGACGTCGATCGTGTGCGGACCGACGGGATGTGGAAAAACAATCTTTTTAAAGAGATTTCTTCGTCATTTATTCGTTATGGCAGATGTTTATTTTGAGAGAATTTTGTTTTATTACGCCGAATGGCAGGATGCTTATCAGCAACTTCAATACGAAACTCGAGATTCCGCAATCGAATTTCACGAGGGATTACCGCGTCCGGAAGATTATTCTAACGATCCATCGCGCGCGAAATTGATAATAATTAATAATAAAAGACGATCTTATGAGGGAATCCTCTAGCGAAGCGATCGTGGATTTGTTTACCTGTTTGAGGGAAGTCATCATAAGAATTTCAGCGTAATTCTCATCACGCAAAATCTCTTTCATCAGGGCCGTGGACAACGTGATATATCTCTCAACGCGAATTACTTTGTGATTTCACGAGATCGCGCGCAAATCCGCCATCTCGCTCGACAAGTCTATCCCAACGATCCAAAGTTCCTGGAGGAAGCGTATCACGACGCCATGTCTCAACTTCACGGATATTTATTGCTCGATTTGAAATAATCGACTCCCGACGAGTATCGTTTTCGCACGTGCATATTTCCCGATGATACGCTGAACTACGTTTACGTATCGCGCAGATCCTTTTCCGGAAGTTTAGTATAGAAGTATCGTACTCGCATTCTCTCGCGACAGTCGCGCAACTTCCTCGCGATGAAGAAGAGAAAAGAATCTTCAGTTAATGCGAGAAAAATCGCAGAACGTTCGATCAGTAAGAAAAATATGTCTTCTCAAAGCGCTATGTTATTTGAACAAAAATCAACGCGCCTCTTTCTTACATCAGGCGGATGAAAAATTCATTCATTGTATCTGCAAATGCGTTTTTAATACTGTCAAGGGTAACGTCCCGCTCGAACGTTCTGAAAAAAATCGTCTGAAAAAAATCGTCTCAGCAAATATAAAGCATCTTTGCGTCGTATAACGAAAAAAGACGGTAATTGGAAAAGTAAGAAAAAGCTATTATTACAGCGAGGCGGATTTTTCCCCTATCTCATAGGGCCTATACTTTCGTTCCTATTTTCGAAAATTACCGGAGAATAGTTAGAGAGAGAGAGAGAGAGAGAGAGAGAGAGAGAGAGAGAGAGAGAGAGAGAGAGAGAGAGAGAGAGAGAGAGAGAGAGAGAGAGAGAGAGAGAGAGAGAGAGAGAGAGAGAGAGAGAGAGAGAGAGAGAG